CTTTCGCGCTGAAGGTACGGGGGGGGGTTGCGTGTAGGCGGGCGGTGGGGGCATTTTCATATTCGCCGAGCGTAGTTGGCTAATGCGTCGTTGTTCGTCCCAAAGGTCAAGGTGGCCTACCAGGCCTCCAAGGGCATGCACTTTTTGCACTCGTCGGGCATCGTTCATCGTGATCTAAAGTCCCTCAATCTTCTGCTGGATTCCAAGTGGAACGTCAAGGTAAGGCGCAACGCCAATGCGCAACGCTCCCACACAGTGCCAACTCTCTCACACGGACACGTCTAAAATTTGTTTACAGGTGAGTGACTTTGGTCTGACCAAGTTCAAGGAGGACATGAAGAAGGGCGATGCGAAGAACATGGTGGGCAGCGTGCATTGGACCGCGCCGGAGATCCTCCAGGAGACCCCCGACGTGGATTTCATCCTCGCCGACGTCTACTCCTTCGGCATCATCATGTGGGAGCTCCTCACCCGTGAGCAGCCCTACTTTGGCATGAGGTGCGTACCACCACCACCACCACCACCGCCACCACCACCACCACCGCCACCGCCACCACCACCACCACCACCAGTATCTGGTCACTTGGAGTGGTGAGATTGTGGGCTGACCATTATGCCCTTTTCCCCTCACAGCCCTGCAGCGGTGGCTGTGTCGGTGTTGCGGGACGGGCTTCGGCCGCAGTTGCCGGAGGGCGACGATGCGGGTCCGGCCGAGTACACGGACATCATCACCAACTGCTGGCACACGGACCCCAGCGTGCGACCGACGTTCCTCGAGGTGATGACGCGCCTCAGCGGGATGGTGGGCGACGCCACCGGTGGCGCGTCGGCCTCGTTCACCTCGACGTCGTCCAAGGGCGGCAAGAGCATCTACGGCTCGTCGTGGTCCGTTCCGGGCTCCTCGACCAACAGCACCAACTCGCGCGGCAGCAAGAGCTCCCAGTCGAGCAACTCGTCTCAAAGTGGCGTGGAGGGCGCCGCGGCAGCGACCGACATGCGCCCGCCCGAGGGCGACATCAC